AATTTGCCAATTGAGCCCCCCCCCCCCGGTTTTCACGTCTAAACAGTGGGTCTTCATACCTATGAGGTTCAACACTTTCATTGTTCATCACTGTTTGATCAAATAATGTTCAACCCATTTGCCAAATGGCTTCCGTAATCTATTAATCAGAAAGCTAGGTTGAAGTGTTGTATTAACGGGATTGGTTCATGTGTCCATGGGGTTTATTTCACCCAAATGCAATCTACTACCATCGCTTTTATTCACGTACATCATCCACAATGCATGCTCATGGAGCTTTCCGTCGAAAGGTAACTGAGTCGCTGAGTCGCGGAAGCTCTCTCCAATATATCCATTCTCGCTAATCATGTCCTCCTCTCTGTACTAGGAATTTTATTCTATAACGAATTTAAATCTTCCGCTATGCTTCCAAGTAATATTCATGACCAATTCAAAACACTTGGGGCCTTTTGGTGAGGTGAGCATTATGCCTGGATTATGCTATATATTTTATGGGCGGTAAATGCTCGTGGAAAAGATTTTGAAGTCCCTGGATGTAAGCTTAATATTCAGAAGCACTAATTTATTTAAATAAAGTAGAAAAGCAGATTTCTGATTGTTTGTTTCGAAAATCGCAGGTTTTAAATATTCTCTGTAACAGCGAAGGAGGTCTCGTACACATTCCAACGGTCTTCGTGTTTATGGGGTCTGCCCTCGTTTGCTGTTCATCACACACTGGTGTTCAATGAGAAACCACCTTCCCTTGACTTTATTTCGAGGTTTGATACACTGAAGATCCCCCCTTATATAAGCTACGGAACTCACATATTTCTGATCGAGTAAGAGTCCGCGGTCTACAAAGTGAGTATTTATCCACCAGCGGCAGTGCTCCTCAAGAATGAAGCATGTTACCATTGCTGTTGGATTTCTACGCCGACAAAATGCTGAGGAACGCATTAAGGCCCATAAGTAGTCTTCAAATGTTGCACAACTCAAGGACCACTGGACAACTTCGAGTACGCTTATGAAATCGCCTGTCTTACCGAATGTACGAAGGAGCCGCCAAGCGCATTTGACAGACTAATAAGTTTTTTTCTATGTTCAGTATGGGCTTTACGCATTCCAAGTGTAACTACGTTCGACCAAATATTCTCCTTTAGAGAGAGATACAAAGATCAGTGTGCACCTGGATATCTGCGAAAACTTCCACTTCCCGTCGATGAAACTGTTGAGAGATATAGTACAGGTTATCGAAGTCGAACTATGGAACGGTGAAGTTGAACACGTCCCAGGAAACAGAGTTGTTGAATTCTACTGTGCCGATTGTATCGCGTTCCTCGGTGACAAGGCAAGGGTAGCAAAACATTATTTGAACACCGTGGTGACCGAGATACGTGTTTTGCATCACCTGGCAGCAGTAACACGGACGAAGATTCGAATCAAAGAAAGAAGTCAAGGGTGGTCAAACTCAGTTCTGGCATGAGGGCACGAACACCCCGACCACGAGACTTCCTCACACGGGTCGCGAAGGTTCGTTCAAAGAGACCGGAATGCAAGGCTCTAACCCTATCATCCGATTGTTGTTCACATCAAACCATATTGAAAAGTTCTACTTATGCTTTTTCTGTATACTCTGAGGCTGTAGCTTCTGGTCTTGTTAAAGTTGTCTTGGCTTTCAATGAGAGAGCTGAAAAGGTACTGTTAGATTCAATCTCTGACGACAATCTTTTGCGCACAAATACACACACACACACACATATATATATATATATATATATATACACTGCTGTGCAATGAAAAAACTGGGATCCACCACGTCTGCATTTCATCGGACAAATGAGTAATAAATATCTTGATGATAGTCGTCGCGGTGGAGTACCGTGCTCATCGGCTTTTGAGCGTTCTGTTACCAGCGAGTTTGTGCGGTTTGGAAAATTATCCCTGTTACCTTAAACGGAACCCCAGTTTTATAAGCACTTCATTGTTTAAGATTTCAAGCACAAATCAGATAGGTGCATTACAGCGTACAGTATTTGTGAAGGTTTGCTATGGTATATACTTATGATCAAACTTAACTTCAGATCAGATCAGAATGCTTGAAATAGTCTGTAGGCCAGGTAGGATTTTTTACTCTGTGTTGACCATAGATTTTCGTTTTCTTTCTCCGCCTCCAAAAGTGGATTCAATTTCTATCCTCCTTGCACATCGTCGCAATGAGTGAAGTTCTCTTCACTGTATTTCGTTGTACGATGATGATGCTGAATGCTTAGGAACTTTTTATGAACTTCTCACCAGATTCCGGGTAATCGATTGTATCGGTATTGTGTTTGTATTTTGCTTTTAGCATTACGAGGCTCTGTAATTTCTGATCGTGAAAAAGACTAAAGAGGCTTGATAGGGCTTAAACCCACACGATCGCCGCCCACACGCTCTTCTACATGAGCTAAATATCCATAATCGCCTGCTTAGTGGCTGGAAGTAACCGTCCATCAGACTTTAATGCACACCAACTATAAACAATTCCATACGTCATCCAGGATCGTAGTATTATAAGCCACTTGAGTGCACCGAATTTGTCTTCAAGATACTTCCACCGCACATCAGGTGACGACGAAGCCTATTCAGTAGACCTGCGTGGTTTAGGCATTGCACTTAATAGTACAGCCGGAAGTCACTAATCGATTGGATCCCCTTCAACAGTCGTTTCACTGAATTCGAATAGTGGCGTATACTGCGCCACTGTACGATCAGCTTTGCTTTCCGGTTGTGAAACCTCGAATTTTTGAGAAGAAGATATCCGTCGGCTAATGGTTTTGGACGATCGATACCTACGTAGTCTAGCCCAGGTCTGATGGAGTGAGCGGGTTAGTAACCTAGAAGTGAGTCGTCGGGTGTTTGGGAATGCATCGAACACGAACCCGCTAGCTCATCGAATTCAGCTCAATAGTCTCCATCGGTTAGAGCACGTTTTGCGTATGCCTGACGATCGCCTCCCGCTTTGCGCTTTGTTTGCACTGGCTGCTGCAGACTGGAGAAAGCCACGTGCATGTCAGCAGATGACGTGGGGACAAGGCATGAAGAAATGCACAGAGCGGTTAGGTTGAGTAGGTGTCTCCCATCTTCCGGGTTGGGGTTCCGAAGACTCCGTAACCAGATGTTTGGAAATCATGGCAGAAAACTGACAGCAGTGACGATCTTGCTATCACTTCTTATCAGGCCGGAATGCTTGAAATAACGTGTATGCACAGTTATATTGTGTAATCTGCGTGTTAGCTATAGAGTTTCACTTTTTTCCGCGTTCCTAAAATGCACTCAATTCCTATCCTCCTTATACATTGTCACTTACGTTGTATTGATTATGACCATGACAGTGATCAGTGAAGTTCAGTTCACTGTATTACGCTGTACAGTAATGATGATGGTGATATCAATAATAATTTAAGTGAAACAAGTTTACAGACGTGCCGAATTTCAGTGCAGATTTTACCTAGAACCAATAGGATTCCACGAAACTACCATGATGGAAAGTCATGAAACATTTACCAAATATACCATATATATATCACCGGCTTGCGAACATGCACGGCACAAAATAGTTAAAGTTATAGTGGATAGCAGGAATGAAAATTTTCCGGTTTGTTTTCCTATGCACTTTTTGACCTTTTAGTATGTGTTTTAGTTTATGGGTATTTTATGGGACACGGGATTTCAAGCGGCAAACTATACAGCATTCGTGCCACTGACTTCTGTTCTGGGTCATATCTCTAATCTCTTTATATCTAACCAACGACAGTCCTTATCCATTGGGTCTCAACCTGGAAGATTGGCTGCACCAACTGAAGCCAAAGCTGAACCTAGCTTCCTCATACATCTACACCAGGTCTTTGTGTGAAGGCTGTAGCGTTTCTTCCAGCCTTGTCCGGCACTTACAAAGAAAGCACAAAAAGGTAGGCGATGGGAAGGCAGATGCGAACGGTGACCAAGCCATTGGAAGTGGCATAGAGTGATTGGTTTTAGAGAACGACTATCCGCACCCAACACACACGGACGAACCTCGTCACTACTCACCCGATGTTCCCACCGGACACGGGCAATGCTTCGGTTGTTGAATACAGAAAGTCGATTAGAATCCTCAAACGCAAAGCAGAACATTGCGAGTCGTCGTGATGTACACTCATTCCCTTAAGGGACAGTTTGATGTTAAACAGTTTTCTGGGGAAGAATATGCTCCGGGATTTTTCGATTTTGTATGGATAATCAACCCAGTGAACCTATTATTTATTCACTTTACTGTTACTGAAATGTTATTCTGAGTAACACCAGCCCATCCCAGGTATGACATTTTAACTGCAAGGTTCGTGCCATATACCCGTGCAAGTGAATTTAGGACAATCCGAATGCCAGTTTTCTGTCTACACGCTTCTATCCCGTTGGTGCAGTGAGTAGTTCCACCAGGAGTGTAGTGCCCAACCGATCTTGTTTATTGTTTCTTCATATTATCAGTCCTTAATGTAGCCCCATTTGTTACTTTCAGTTATCTTCGTCTGGAAGACTTCCTAGGCTGTCAAGCATCACGCCTCGTACTCGAAATGATTCCCAGGGGTACGGTGATTTTGTGGCTCCGATTCACCGATCCTGTGTTAACCAAACCACGGGCGAGACTGCGACGCCAACAACGCCTCTTTTCAAAACAGAAAGGTAAGATATAACCAGTTCAGATTTGTTTCTAACACTTATTCGTGCGTGAGAGCTCTCTTTCAATACAGTTTTTCCTAATCGTGAGACAGTTTGTCAATTTTTGTCCGTATCGGCTGAATGATATTTCCTCAGTCAGTGGAATCGTTTTTCATGTCGCTTCGCTTAACTCATGTTCTTCTTCTGATATATATATATATATATATATATATATAGGAGAGGAGACCGCCTTAGGGTTATAACCTTTTTGGACGGTTGTATCCCATTGTCTCTGATTGGTTCAGTCCCTAAGATCTAAAGTCCGGGCCCCGTCAATTCCACTCCAATTTATTAATAGACTGATTTAATGTTATCGTCTCCCGTATCATGCCTATCCTTCTCCGACATCTAGTAGTTAGCTACTGTTGGGTATAAGGCACAGGTTCCCGGTTCCCATAGCCGAAGAGTGGATTCTTGTGACTGTAAGGATTGCCCCCTATACTGTTCATTGCAATAATTTGTGATGATAAGCATTTTCGTTCATCACATTAGCGAGCTGCAATTCCGAGTAGAAAATTGGTATGAGTTTAGCACACATAAATAGTCCACGACCACCAGATTTTAGACCGAGCCGTATTGTGTGTACTTCTTATCTCACAATGGTTACAGTCATTTCTTTTCATTCACTAAAAACAAGGCTGTGCAGTCAACTTCTAGGAAGAAGGACAATCAAAAGGTGCCTGAGAGCTCGATCGAGCTGTGACCGGATTGTTGACGGTCGGCTCAACAGATTTCTACGTTGACGCACCAACAAACCACATTCTTTCCCGTCTACAATTGTTCAACTTTCCTATTCTCGGTTTACCACCCATTAGTTCGAGTCTCCAACAATGTATTATTCAAGACAACGGAAGAAATCGCAACGTTGAGCATGCACAAAAGAAACACGCACCTGTTCCGGTCGTTCAGAAAATACTAATCGTTCCTCGGTTGCAACTGAAGTTAGCCACCTACAATGTTCGAACGTTTATGTAAGTTAAGAACCAGGCAACACTCACTCGCCCACTGAAAACGCTTGCCATGGGCATTTGCTGCTCTACTGATACGCGCCGAAAGAATTCCAGCAACGTACTGAACCTCGTTTCACTGCCTTCAGATTCTACAAGCTCGTTCATCCTCCGCCTCTCCAGGAATCCGATCGCCACCGGTCAGGCTGGCTTGGAGAGCGCTGAGTGCACTTGCAGAAACAGCGTTACTCGTTCATCAATTGCAATCAATAGTCGAGAGTGCGCCATCCATCTTTGAGGTTCGTCAGTAGGAGAATGTAGTATCAGGACCAAGAAACGTTTTCTGTTCCTCATTACGCCGCATGCGCCCACAGACAACAGTCCCAATGAAACAATATATGAGTTCTACCATCGGCTTATCAATCCCTCCTTCCCACAGTAGACGGACGATACCCTGACATTGTGGTACTGGTCGGCGACTTGAATGCGTACGTAAGTGGGTTAAACGCTGATGAAACCCCATTTGGGGGCCAGCATAGCCTCAATGTAAGGAGAACTGACAACGGTGACCGTCTCTGCCAACTTTGCATTGACCATGGTCTATTTCTTTCACGCACCAACTTTCGACAGCCATAGCACTAACGTCCCACCTGGCGACTTCTATCGTCTGATCAGCTTTGGACTCAGATAGATCATATTGCCGCGAACTATCGATGGCGAAACTGCATAACGAATTCCAAATTCATCTGGATCACCTGTCACAGCCTTGATCATGCACTGGTGTGCGCGATTTTCTCTGTGCGCATTGATATTAAACAGCAACGTCACCCGAGAAGACTCGATCTGATGAAACTGATCGACCCTCACGTAGTTTCCGCCTACCAAAACCCTTTGACTGGTGATCGAAAGAGTCAATCTTTTAATTTTAGCAGTTAGTGGGCTGACATTGGTAAAGCTAAGCATAAGTATCTCATCGTCGCAGCTTACTTTACTATGGTCACCGTAATTCACTGGATACCCGCGCGTTTTATTTACTAGGTTGACACCCACGCAGTACCCTCCGAAAATGATTGTAACTGAAACGATTCATAAAAGAAAACTCTGAGACTTTGTGGTTACCGCGAAGTTTGGAGACGGATCTAGGTGCTGCTCTGGGTGCTGCTGAAGTTTTTCCACTGATCCGCTACCGGTAGCAAAATATCGTCCATCGGTGAAACCACATACGAAATCAGTGGCGTACTTATACACAATCTACGAAGTCGGCATAGACGCTTGGCGGAGTATTTCCATCTGTAATGCAGTCGACATCGCTACCTCTGACTGACGTACGCAGTACTCCGTCGTCTGTGGACATTTTACCACCTTATGAGGAAAAAGTTTTTCGAAAGCTCTCACTTCTGATACGCCATAAATCAGTCGACCCTTCGACCCTCTACGAAAGCGGTGGTGCATCCATTGTCTGTGTACTGACTTACTCCAAACCAGCTAGAATGCCGAATCCTTGCCATCTGAATGGAATTTGTCGGTCCTGGTGACTCTTTTCAATATTGGCCCCGTCTCTGCTACTTCATTTACGAAGGAAGTAGTCTTATTTCAGTTGCGTTCAAGGTGATTTTTCTTAGAATCAGTTGGATTCGATAACGTCAAACCGTTAATACTAAGGTGAACTCTGTTTTGGACGAAGCTGTGTTAACCATATATTTACTTTACGTCAGATTCTCGAACATCGCCAAACGCTCAGTAGACCATCCATTGGTTTCTTGGAGATACGTGATGAGTGACTCCGTGGACAAAGTTGCTCCCTGAACTTGTCTGTTAGGAAGCAGTGTGCCCGGGAAGTGCGTAAACCTACCCTCTACTAAATAACATCGGGCCCCGGCAAGGTCTTTGACCGCTTCTCCCTTTCATTCACCATGACAAGCGGAGTCCGACAAGGTTGCCCGGCTTCATCCTTCTCATTTAGTTTCTCAATGGACAAAATCCTAAACAGCGCTCTAGAAACCTGCTGGACCTGTTGTATGAAACTTCTCCTAGGTGATCGACTTCGTGACTTGGAATATACAGGCGACGTCGCTATACTCTGTGACTCTTCTCAAGATGCTCAAAATGTCCTGTTCAAGTTATATTCGTTCGTCACAAAGTTAGGTGTGACCTTTTCTTCATCGAAATATAAGGTCTTACTACAAGGCTGGCAAGGGCTACACCTATCTTCACACTTATTACCGACCGGTTGAAACTTGTCGATCGCTTTACCTATCTTTGGAATATTTTTATTACACACGAAGTGATTTTCAGCAAAAGCGGTAAACCGCCATAATCAATTATATACTGCAAGGAATTGGGGTTGTTTCAGATCAAGAGGACTGACAGAAGAACTATCAATGCGTTTTCGCAAGGTATGGGTGACTTGCTACCTTTCGCTTGTAGCATCGACACGATTTCAGCTATCCCTTGGAAGACCTAGTATACAACAATGTATGCGCATTCTTATTTACGGCTGCGAGCGCTGGCTCCTTGACACAGAAGACCTACGGTGACTAAGCGTCTCTGATCACCGTTGCCTTCGTTGCGTCGCTGGAATATGTTGGCAATAGCGACAAGTTCGCCGAAGAATTTTCGCTTCATACGATCTTAGTCGTTCTCTGAGTTTCTCAATCAAATGCATCCACTACCAAAGCTGTTTCGACCGCAGCTATTCCAGTGCAACATTCGACCATTGTTAATGACATTGTCATTTACCTCGGCTCCTCTATCTAGCGTAACATCCAAGTGAAAGNTGAAAGACCAAATCCAGCTACGAGTTAATGTCGCCTGGAGGGCTTTCTCACAACTCCACCGTGCACTAGAGACACACACCAAATCAGCTCTGTTCCAGGGTACGAGTTTACGGAGCTACCATCCTTCCTGTCCATCCTTCCATCCTGTCCTCAAGTATGACTGCGAAACGTAGTCCAAGACTTCTAAAGATTGGATTTTCGACCATTGGTATTCGTAATACATACTTAAGTGGAGTGGCACAACCAATTATTCAACAAAGAAATCTATCAGTACAACTGTTCTACCAAAAAACGTTTTACACTGCTGCAACAGAGTCAACTCTTATGGTTCGGTAATGTACTTTGGCGTCCCGTTTGGGAGCTCTACTGACGAACTATCTTTCCAACACCGCATTCGGGATGCTGTTGTCCTCTCGGTAGATATCTGAGGACTTGGATTAAGACACTCAAAGAAGACATGAAGAGAACATCTGCCTGATAGCAGCGCATAGCCTCCGAAACTGAAATCAGACCTGGCTTTCATCCTCTTCCGACCTCACTTCTGAACGCTGCGCATGGACAGCTGTCTTCAGAAACGTCAATATAATAAACTAATCCTCACGCTTGAGTAAATCTCATGAAAGTATAAGTTAGGTTCTACGAGAAGCTAGCTGCTTTATTGATGACTCAGCCTTTCCAACCTCCAACCCCCAGCCCCTCGCCAACCAGTTGCTGCTTAAAGTCTCTTTTGTCTTAGTTACGGTAGCTTCTGATCTTCCGTAATTGCTACTACCGGGCGTGTTGCCCTAGTTCTATTTCCGCGCACAAACTGTCTGTTGTATCGAAATGCCGCAACATCCAATTAAAAACTAAAAGATTGTACCTTCGTTTCCCCCAATATAATATATAACTTTAAAAAACATACTCAGTAGACTTGCCCCTATCTGAATATCCTCCATCGTTCATTATCCCAATGAGTTTTACCCCTTTTTAGTATATCACATTTTCTTGTACTGAAACACGAAAACGAAGAAAGAAACATTTAATCCGATTCCAAGTTATTAGTTGTTTATTGGAAAGGGATTTCGTAATTTGTGTGGAATACAGTAAGAGGAGTGTTTTTACTATTATATAGTTTTTTAACAAAATTAGGAACTGCGATTACGGTATTTACAGCTTTTGATTCAACGCATAGTTGCTACTCTGTGTATTATAACCACTGGCACTACTACGGCTAGTTATTATGACGTAAATCTTTTTTTCTCTTTGCTCCCTTTCATCGAGTACATATTAATGTAAGTTTCAAGAATGAAGAGCACCCAATCAAATGGCTACCATACAACACAGAATGGGGAAGTTAGGTGGTAAGGGTGGTTAGATTTAACCACACGTCTTCCGGGGTCATAATTTGGTGATGTTACTAACGGGCCATCACCGGCAGACATGCGAATGGAAATGCATGACGATTATCCAAAATCAAATTTACCGCAATAGGTCTTTTCATTTTTGCACACTTGTTTAATTGTTGTCTTTATAACAAAGGCTAGTAAACTGTCCTATATGTATTTTCCACTTTCACCCACGATTTTCCTTTCAGGTCGGGATATTCCTCGATCCAGTGAATTAAACATCAACGTTCGCTTATGGACCCGCATGCTTGGAAGCGGACAACTGTTGGGCTTGAACCGAACACCCGCATCCGGCTCGGCTACTTTCAATCCGACGGCTGCAGAAAACCTTCCCAGTTCCCATGCCTCACCTACCGATTCTGTCATGGGTCGTGAGGGTCGGTATCATCCACTCAATACGTCCATGGCTGATCCACGGACCGCAAACGCATCGACCCAGGTGACTAACAATCGTTCGTCCCTCACTCTCGCTCAGCTTGCCTCGCGTGTTAGCAGTATTTCCAGTCATGATAGAAACTCACCCGGCCACCACCGCCCTTCCACAGCCGGCGCCGTCGCCACTTTACCCAGGACAAAGGCCGCTCGACCCCATTATATTACAGTACGATCACCTGCGGTTCCTTCTATGACCGTGGCCGATGTGCGCCGGCGATCTGAACAGCTCCACTTCATTTTCGTACCTTGTCCAAGTTCTCCGTCCATACTTAGCGATGTATCAACCGATTCTGGTCTGAGCCCCCAGCGCACCACTTCGTTCACTTTGCCCAGAAAACCGAGTCTTGAGGTTTGTATTCGTCGCACGCTTGTCCACACCCGATCAGCATGAACAGTTTGCCGCTGGGAGTGGGCATCACTGCTCTTCCCTAATTGGACTAACCATCGGAAATCATACTTATCCTTCTATGGTTGCATCGTTTTGCATAACATTTCACCTGCCTTGACTAACCGTCACTGCCGTGGAGATACCTTCCGTTTGCCGTTAGCACTCACCCATATGGTTCTCGTTTCGGGCATTAGCTTCAATTCTTGGATTACCTTATTCAAAAAGGTCTTCCAATTTAGGCCTGAAGTCGTATAGGAACGAGGTTTTAACTGACCACATTTGTCCAATTTTGTTTTCGTTTCACTGGCCTGAAATGAGTGTTCTAACTAGTGATCAGCTGTTCACTTCTACAAATCGAATCGTTCTGGAAACGTTTGTTGAACGTTTGTTAGCATTTCTCTGGCAATCTCGTTCGTTTGAACGAATCGTGTGCAAATAGCATGGGAAAATCAAAAACTACCTACCACGAGACCTTGCGACCCCTCCAAGTTTTTCAGTCTATTCCCTACAAATGATCAAAACTAGGTTTTCCAGCTCCGAGTACGTCTTTCATTTTTCGAAGAGCGATTTAGTTATTGTTGTGATTCGCCCAATTGTTTGCTCAAGGCAATAAGATAACACTCATGATGGACTACCCACTGCACCGAGACGTAACTTTGATGTTTCCTAACGNGCGGATGAAATGCGTCAGTTAGATACCGGATAGACCCATCGATCTAATACGTATTTTCTTTGCTTACCATCAGAGAATATTCTGATTGGCGTTACAACAATCATGAATGGATTTAATGCCCTTTGGGTCAGCGTGCGTAGTACTGAGGAGGCGGATCGTTTGCTCGTTTTTCTGCTTTACATTTTTGGACGTGGACGGTTCCGCTGGTAAAATCAAAGTTTCGAGGACTCGCTGCTAAAATTGTTTCGTTTCATCTGGTTACTTTCAAAACCCGACGGTGCGATTTGCATGTTTTACGATCACCCACAAGGACAGTCTTTGAATTGATTGAATCAATCAAATGTGCGAGTGATAAACTCGATAGAAAGTGACAACTCCATATCATACGAATGGTTTCAAATAATCTGGAGAGTGAGATTTGAACCCTTCATTCTCTCTGCCCATCTTCGGGTGCTTGTGAGGTATCCCTTTGCCGTTGATGTTTACACATTTGGTAGTCAGTTAACGAAAAATAGCACAATCGTTAAGCGGATGATCACCTGATAATTACCCGTATCTACTGGGATCAGTCACTCAAAATGTTTGACCACGTATTTACGACCGTCGTTCTACGAAACACAACAGTTAAACCTCTTTCAAGCACCACCTACTCTGTCTTACACTACTTAGCTCTCTCAGCTGCACAAACCTTTTCCCAATTCAGTCACCTCAGTTATTGAACTGTGACTCATGCTAACTCGATACAAAGGGGACTTACATCGCCTAGCATTAAACGTGAGAATTAACGTTCTAACTGCCCTTTTCGTCCGGGTGATATCCTTATTCGTTTTCTTTTTCCACGGATTGATTGGTTTGTCTGAAAGATTGGTCCTGTTCATGTCCTACGGCTACATCTTAACGTCCCGCTCGGATTTCATCGGTGCCGGTTGAGGATTTCGCTATGGTAACCTCGTTCTGTCTGTTATGAGTAGTTGTTGATTTCGGTTTTTCCTTTAACTCCATCGACAGCCTTCTGAACAGAATCGCAGGGTCATCGGTACGAAGGTCGACACCGCTCCAGCCGGTATTCCTACAATCACTGCGTTTTCTCCAGATAATCCAGCTCTCATCATCGATCAACCACCGACAATTCCCAGTAGCGTTGCTGTTCCGTGCACGACAACTCAATCCATTTCCAAACCCTCGTCTTCGTTCTCCTCCGAACACACCCGAACACCAAGTCCTGTAAAAGTAGGTTCCTCGATACGATCTGGCTCACCGTAATCTACGCTGATGTCCGGATTCGCGATGAATTGCGCCTTATCTGATACCATTTGAGTTGATCGCCGATTTATTGTCACCATCTTATCTCCGAGATGAAACGACCCTGTCATTAGGCAAAATAATTCGGCTCATCGATTGGATAACAATCGTTCCACAAGTTAACTCGCGTGTTCTTGCACTCCTACTTTTCCCTCACTTGAAAGTGCGTTTTGCCACTGTTTTTGTGCTATGTATTTACAAATATCTGCGACGAAACGTACAAATTTTTGTTTGAGTCCTAAGTCGAGTCGGTTTATTTTAGGGATGTGGTAAGCAATCGGGCCAATCTGACTAGTTTATCACGTGTTTTACTACGTCTAGTCATTTTTATCCTCAGTTTATCATCCAATGTATAACAGGCCATTCAATGGTATTTTCCTGTCAACCCACTCACTCTCAGCTTTACCAACTATATGCGTAATGTCTCAAACCCTTCTGATGTCGGATACAGGTTGTGATGCTCAGCATTAAGTATTTCACTTGCTCGTTCCCGTTTCGTAATCTGGACCACGGCGACAGTTTTGCTGCGGTCAACTCTCCAAGACAACGTATTCCAAAAGTAGACAAGTGTTGTGAAATGTTCACCGTTCATTTAATCTCGTCAATCGCCGAAGTAAAACAAGCTAGCATTTCCATATAGCACATTTGGGTTGATCGATCGTAGTGTACGGCTGCACACACACAGCCGGAGTTCATGCTCGTTGCCTCTACTCGCAGAATCTATCTGGACAAACGTAAACATAGCTAGCAAACTGTTCCTGTCCCACTCACAGTGTGCACCTGCAATTGCAGTGACGCATACGTCAAATGATCGACAGTGTGGCGACGGGAAGCCCAATAGGTCCGATGTTAACCGCTATCGTCATGGGGTATCTAGATAAAACTCCCCGCGTCACTGTTTACAAAAGGCACTTATATGAACAACGCATTTTTGTAGTTGAAGACAGACGAAGATGTGCTCGAAATTTTGAATTGGTGTTCATCTAATCGAATTCACTGTATAACACTGATCTGCCGTCCTTTCAATTCGTGGACATTAAAGGAAAATAAATCTTCCATGAGGTCTGTATTCCACAAAATAATTTGTGCAAGATAGCGTAGTTTGGATGGACATGATACAGCTAAATTGCCTAGGCCGCCGCAGGTGAATTTTTCGTAGGAGTTCACAGCTGGATCCTTTGACTAACTAAATTCTGACTCGCAAGGCAGCCGGGCAATGTGGAAACGAGCTCACTGTTCAGTTCTACAGTACACTATTTGTCTTCAAACTTCTGAACACCTCTGTGCTTATGTCACTTCTGTATCAACATTAGACTTAACAGTGCTATTACCACCGAGCTGCGATTGTCAACAACCTTTTGTGCTGTCGATTTCCAACACTGTTCGTATACTTCTCGCTCGCTCAAAGTTACTCATGATTACTCTTTTGCAGGAATCCAATGATCTATCAACGGACAACACGTATAAGATTCCATCAGTAGTCAGCCCCAATATCCCCGACTATGATATTGTCCCATCCATTTCCGGTGGAGATACCCCGAGTGCACGGCTCTCCACAGATTCAACGCGATTCTCCGATTATGCTACACCAGAACCGGGCTCGCCTGAACCAGTCATGGGTCCTTTGGCTGGTGGAGAGCAGCAGCATTTAACAGATCATCCGTCCGGTCTCACTACAGACAAATCGTCCGAACCGGACTATGTAAACTTGCGCGATGTTGCCCCCGCCGCCACGGAGTCTCCTGTCAATGCCGACGAAAGGGATGCCGATTCGGAATCAAGCAGTGCGCCGGTTGCACCGCCGCGTCGCTCCTCTCGTTTCGCACCTTCAGTTCCAGGTGAGGGTTTATTCCCACACTTCTCGTCAACGGATAGTGACGTTAGGTCTTTCACTAGGCCCTTGTTATTCTATTTTTCAGTATTTTTTTGGAGGTGGACGTCTGTGGTGAGTAGCTGATATTTAGCGATTAAGCTATCGCTTCAAACTGAAAAAGACAATTTCGGAATTAATCCGCAATGATCAATGATATTGATTTTCCCTTTGTCAAAACAAATGTTTTTTTTAAATTTTTAATGATTTAGTGCGTATTCATATATATTTATATTTCATAATAAGTAGTATGTGAATGACTAGACAAAATTTCCCTGGAAGCACACGACCTGTTTGGCGGATCTTGCCGCTCGTCAGGCATGATCAACCGGTAATTTTTTGCTAGTTCATTCATATACCTGTACGCAGGAAGTGTATTTCCGTCACAATAACATCGTTTGCAACATTGGATGACTTTTAGATAGATAGCTCTTTCAGAGCCAGTCTATTGAAGAATCAGTGCTATGATTTAATGTTTTTGTAAGTGGGTTAGATGCTACTAAGCGCAACAAACGTGACTTGATCGTCTTTGTAGAATATTTCATAAAAAGTAGTATATATAAATATAGTTTGCACTATATCCGTTTTAATATATCGGACACCGAAACTTCCTCCTTTTTATAATTCTTCCTTGTCATTCCGTTTGTTCATCTAGGAATCCCAACCCGGTCCTTATTGACCATGCTCGATTTTCGTTGCATTGCGGTTTTGGGTCGTGGTCACTTTGGAAAAGTGTTACTTACACAGTACAAAAAGGATGGACAGTATTATGCTATCAAAGCATTAAAGAAAGCGGAAATCATCTACCGGAACGAAGTTGATACGTTGCTGGCAGAAAAACGTATCTTTCAGACAATCACTGAAGCCCAACATCCGTTTCTTATAAATCTTATCGGTTGTTTTCAAACCAAGGTGAGTTTATAGTTTGCAACAAGCAAGAGGAAATCATTGCACTGGAATTATTATGTATATCATTATTATCCCATTTCACATGTCTGGGTACAGACTGTTTGCCGGACAAATCATGGTATAATAATCTTTGTAACAGAAAAAGGTTCATAATTTGCAAGCGACGGTCACACTGCTGGCTTATTCAGACTAAAGCAAGATAATTTACCGGGACGATTCACGACCGGAGCATTCGAATTGCCAAAGCCTGACATTCAAGGCGACTCGACAGTGTTTGGAAACTGCGATCCTTTCGTGGCCGGTGCGCATTTCATTGAATCCCACGTCCTTTGTGTGGGGTCAAACATCCATAACGCCCCGGTGCTCAATCAATCTGACAACCACTACCACAACCTGGAAGGTGTGATTCGTGTTCCTCTTCACTGGTTTGGAATTAGGGATTTTAGCCAACACCGCTAAGTAAACTGCCAGCGGCTCATCGACTCGGTTATAGCCCAGGGTGTTGGTATTTTCTCACACCTTTTGGGGGAAACCATCATGGAAGGTAATGAGCATGGACTTCCGCATCAGAGCTATTTGAGACACTTGGTCGTATAAGATCATTTTGCAAGGCTCAAGGGAAGAGTGACCAGCCACAACCAAGTACACCCACCCACCAACTGTGTTGTGTTTACCACTCAATTGATATACAATATCACCCAAAGGATCGCGGTTTTGAACTACTGCCTAGCTGCCTGATGGGTTAGGCTTTAACTAACCGAAGACCCCGGTTGTGAATCTCTCAGGAAAATTCATCTACTTTGTTTTCGGCAACCTGGCAGTACACGGTGACGTCAGTAGCAAATCATGAACCCATTTATTTCTTTAAGCTAGGAATTATGTTGTACCCTAAAGCTTCAGACATCTATTTGCATAGCCACCTCACCTGTCCTCACTTGTTATATCCTACAGTTTGACTGCCATTCTGAACCATTTTGAATCCACTGGATTGATTTAACCAAGATGTTATTCCCGTCGCTGCATTTAATGTCCTTACTGTCAGATAGACCTACGACTTGGCTCAGCTAGAATTTTTGGAACGCTCAATGTAGATGTTTCCAACACACACACACACACACACAATATCCTACCTCAAATATCACGCTGCTTTCTCAACCCCAATTTCATTCTCATATTCACTAGTTGTGTGTAAAGTGCTTCTGCTAGTAACGCTCGTGGCGTTGAAGGCGTCGGGATTGCGCGAGTGTCAAGGCTGTACGTTCTCTGCTCGACTTGATCGCAGTCAATAGTTGATTGCGCACTGTGCATCTCGACAATTTATGTGAACAACAGCAACTGGGCGAAGCGCTTTCCCTTATTCTCCGTGCACGCACTGGCTGGTTGTCGTTTGTCTGAAATGAAGGGCCACTTTTCCAAGGAACTTCCTACGGCTACAGTGTTTGTTTACTCAACGGATATTGAAATTATTGCCAGAAAATTTACGGACTAACCACAGTGGTATCTATGTGACCTATATGCAATCTGAGCAGGTCAGACGGGCATCTAAGATCGCTCGCTTCACCCCTTATTAAGAACACGGATTTTTCTGTCAAGCATGAAGTCGTCACACAGGAAGCGATATCACCTTACGTAGAACCTCCCCGCGCTCTTTTCAATAATGAACTCAATTGGACCAGATGACAATCACCTCCCACTGGCGGGGAGCTATTCAAGACTGCCACTCTCGTTGGTGAACATGTGAACATCGACTACAATCTGGAGCGAGTCATATTCTGCTCACGCCTGGTAGACAACCACACCACACCAAAGTCGTCGCAAACCGATGCTCAGCACATGGCGAGCGACAACTGGAAGTCGGCTTTCGAATCGGAACTTCCTCTTGATCTCTTAACTCAACCATCTGCTAAGGACTCTGAACATTAGAAGCTAATAAAAAAATCCATCACTAAGAAACTGCACCTTGATGTGGTGTGATGGCTTGTGTGCCTCCATGACCCTGCGAGCTACACAGGGTGGCTTTTCACAACCGTAGATCCAATCATGCCTGAAAGGTCAACGGGTAGTGGCCAGGCATAGCCCAGTCTCACAAAGTCAGCTGCTTTGGCACCTCCTAGCTTCCTTCTATCTACACCTCCCCCGGGAGATGTCACTCCACTAAATAAGCAGGGTGAGAGGCAGTTTACGGACCAAAAAAGCCCCGCTAAATGAAAGTAGGAGCGGGGTACCCGCGGCTTTCTCTCGAGGGTGGAGCAATCTTCGCAACTAATTGAATCGTAATTGTAACGTACTGTTGTCTTGTTACTGTGGTCCAGCTCTTAACCTCTAAGCGGAGAGGTAATACAAAAATCAAACAGAGTTTGTTATTTTGGGAGCTACATCTAATCTGGTAGATTCATATGGAATGGAATTTTTTATACCATAGCTGTCTTGCTGACTCTTGTATTGTGCAGAGATATGTCTGTTCCCATTTAAGTTTCTACAACCATTAACCATGCATTTCATGCGCCGTTTTTGGTTGCTGTCTTTTAGCTGCCGATGGGAATAAATGAGCAGAATCAAGATCGCAATGGTGAGAGCAGAGTTAAAGGGAAAATAGAAAATTCATATAGAGTAAGGTTGTAAAAATATCGAGTAGGTGCACGAGCGCCACTGCTTGCGACATTCAGTGTTTCTAATCACCAGTTACCATGATCTCGTGGTTTCCATCCAGGAAGCCTTACGGGACCTATGTGACCCAGTCTCCTGGTTAGACTTATCATACTCTCATGGCCGGTCTTAGTTTGACCGTCCTCAACCTTTTCCCATTCGTTGCTTGCCTCGGCAAACATTGCGCACAATGGCAATCTATTCATTGACATGTGCAGCACATGCCCCAACCGGCGTAATCTAAGGAGGTCGTCCACTTGCTCCATTGGACGAACGTGATTATCTAAAACTCTGCACCTGATCTCAGCATTGCTCGTCTGGTTTCTTCACCAGACTCGTGCAATGCGAAGTAGACAGCGGTGTTCGAACACCGACAATCAATTTTTATCCTGTTCCCGTAAGGGTCAGTTCTCTGCACCGTTACAGCAACAGGACAAATACAGACTATCCATATATGAACACTGCTGCCTACACCGCTTTAATCTAGTCTGGTTGAGCAGCCAGAGAAACAATAACGAAGTGGGACGCGGGTTTTTAGATAATCGTGGTTGTGCAAGGGAGCAGTTGCTTGATCGGAGATTATGTATGTGACCTAGTGTTCCTCAACTTACGATGTTTGGCGACGAGGCTTCTTTGTAAAGAAGCAAGGGATGATTAGACAAAGATCTAGCCTGAGGGTATGAAAACCCTGACCAAGGAACTTGGACATAGAAGTCGCGTTGGAGACCTCGAGAGCCGTCGTATCGATGGTTCGAGGCGGGGTGATATTGCAACGAGAAGGCGCCTTCTGGTCATGAGCACTCGTGTATCGTTATCCGGGTTCGTCGTGCAAATGGTCAGTCAGAAGGCAGCAGTCGAAACTGCCACACAAAAGCGCACGGTTAGTGACTTTAAACAATGATTGAGCTCACCTATTTGTATGATTTTGAATCATTGTAGCTAATTTTCCCACCGTTCTCTTAGTTTGCTCTACTTGATCCCGGTAATGCGGTTTCGACGTAACAGATCTCTATTCTTGTTTCCCCCCAAGGAACATGTGCTCTTTGTGATGGAGTATGCTCGCGGAGGTGATCTGATGCTTCACATTCAGCAAGACGTGTTTTCTGAACCTCGAGCTGTGTTCTACGCTGGTTGTGTTGTATTGGGGATCGAGTTTCTACATTCCCGTAAAATTGTCTATCGGTAGGTTGTTGCCTGTCAGTGAATACTTCTCCCATTCTTTCGTTGTATGCTGTCCTGAAAGCATTTTTCGGAACTCCATAACACCCATTCTTTCTGATGGTATTATTTTCTTGTAAACTTCTATGTGGGATTGCCAATTGGATCTCATTGCTCTCAGAATTCTTTTGAATCTAGCTTTTGTAATTAGTATGCATACTAATGACAATGCCCATCATTTTATGTTTTTGATTCTCCAGATACTTGTAGGATGATTTCTAGGCACGACAGTTTTTCTTTGTCTGTTTATGATCACTTCACTGTATTACGCTGTACAACGATGACGATCTGTAGACTGCTCCACGGTCAGTTTCAGTTTACACAACCATTTAGCTAACGCTTTCGCGTGGAGGTTCCGTTTGCTGTCTTTCGGGGTCCTTTTTTCATGGAGTACTAAACGGGACAAGTATGATGATCCATGTTTCTTTCTTTCTCAATTTCACACCTCAATTCTGTATCGTGACCACACGAATGGATACAGTTTTTATCACGGCTTCTGGTTTACTTTTTGCCCTAACACTATTGTTATGCGACTGATTCATCATTGCTGCGATCCACAATGTGGACTGACATTTTTCCGGTGTAGTTTTTTTCTTTACTCTATTAGTTCAGTCCTCGCTAATGTTTTCTGGTTCGTTTTTAAGTGTGGCAAAAGGAAAAGAAAAACAAGGGAATCTACACTCGTGCACACATGTGTGCGTGACTGTATGCTTCGATAGCACAATGATTTATGGTGTTCCCAAAATTGAGTTTCTGCATCTTACTCTGCATTGAAAACCGGATATACTGTCCGGCATCATCGTACGTCTATACAGACAGCTTAGGACAGATGAATAACCAGTCAATCTAAGAGCTAGAAGAGCCGTTGATGTTATTTACAATAACCGCACTTCAGTTACATCGATGGTCCAAACCATATGCCAGTGACTACTTCGTGCACCTTGACTCAGATTTAGTCTTTCTCATCACTCTTCGGAAATGTGCTTGGTGACCAATAGTTTAATAAAGCTCAGGTCTGCGACCGGTAAAATGTCTATGCATCCTTTGATGTCTTATACCTTTGAATCTTTATAACATACTCTCGTTCCCCAAATCACGGCACTGTCTGCATGCTTTTTCACTCTATATCCACCCCTTGCAAAAACCAGTGATCTCAAGTTAGACAATCTTCTACTGGATTCCGATGGCTACTTGAAAATGGCAGATTTCGGATTGTGTAAAGAAGGAATGGGCCCGACAGATCGAACATCTACTTTTTGTGGTACACCGGAATTTTTGGCTCCCGAAATTCTCACTGATCGATCCTACACTCGGGCAGTCGACTGGTGGGGTCTAGGTGTCTTGATCTTCGAAATGCTCGTTGGCGAGGTGGGTATTTTGAGTCACTTGTCTCTACTTTTGACTATTNTTTCCCCCCCCCCCCCTAAACTTAAACAATAATTGACACGCTTACTCACCCTAATAACATCTCTGGGAAGGGAATTGAGAGCAAGGTTTGCATCTGCGATTTCACTGACGACCCACACCCCGAAAATTGAATCTCACCGGAGCTTGGTAAAATACCTAGATATTCATAGATACTCACGTCTGAGCACCCGAAATGTTCTGATTCTGCAGTTACCAAGTCTTATCTCTGTGATATGCATCTACTTCGGCGTGAACATTATGTGCATAGTCGGGTCAAATTCGCGTATCTATTCTCATATGCAACATTCATCACCCATTATCGTCTTCCTCTAATTCACCATACAGGACCGGATGTTAATGTGTTGTGTTTCTCTCGGCGATTAGACATTACATAGTGTTGTTTGTCACAGTCTAACTAACTGTGTCATTATCGATCACAAAACACTGTCAGTGAACTATTCTGGCTAGCCTATCGCGCACACCTATTTACGTACGCGCGCACTACTGAATAGACGGAAGGTTATACGAAACAGATAGCCTCACATCCACGTGATGTGAAGAATCATGCCTGAGAATCTTTTAAACTATCGCAGATTGCAAGTCTGGCATCTCGGTATCACGGATCCCTGTGGGATTGTTTGGAAGCATCGAACCAGTGTATTTCAACCGCGTAACTTGACACCAAAAATTTTATTATGCATATTGTGAATTGTTTGCTCCAACACCAACAATGAAGACTGAGAACGGGCCAGCTTTTCGGACTCGGCTTATGATGGTGAATGAAGCCATGATGCGTTCATAGACCTTGATACCGCCTATTGTTACTCAGTAGACAACTTCGAGAAGAGTTGGGTACTTCTCCCACATACCACTTCTAACAGCAAAGTCTAGACAGCAGCTCGATAAACTGTGTCATGCACTACGACGGTAACTACGT